TGACAAGCAATTCATCACAACACAGCGAGAAACAGTGAGGGAGTTAAGATAACTGAAGAAGAAAACACACTGATAAATGAAAAGCGGCACTAACATCAACCAGCTCTTGCAGTTGTTCTTCAGTAAGTCGCTCTTCACATTCTTCCACTACCAGTTGTAGCTAAAAAGATGATGTCTGCAAGTCAAAACTATAACAAAGCGTAGTGAGAAGCGGGCGCAAGCATGCGCTTTTTTTGTTTTTACATGTATGCAAATGCAAAAACGCATACTGTGAAAACTCATGGTGTTTTTATGCTTGTGTTTGTTGTGTGTGTACGTGTGTGTGGGTGAATGTGTATGTGTGTGTGTATACGTCTGTCCGGGTATTTCAACCCGACAACCAAGCAAGCTTCGGCGCTCAAATTTTGCCAATGGATTCACCAGCCAACTGCCATCCCAGGATCACGGAATCAACTTTCATGTACTACTGAGCCACATATGCGAGTACGTGAAAGTTTTGACATGAGATTAACTCGAAAATCGAAAAAGCTGGGAAGATGAAATTTTAAGCGGATCTCCCCTGTCCACGTATCAACTTAAAGATTTCAAATATAACCCCCACGCTTCGTGGTTCTCACGTGCTGACATGTAAAAATTATGGCGAAAAAACTGTTTACTGATCAGCTAGGTCATTTTCAAAGAACGATTGCTAAACGGAAATTCTTTATTTTCCTTTATGTACAATATACGGTGATTTACGCTAATGAGTACATAAAGTAAATGTAAAGCAACAGCCATTCATACATTTAACGCTCTGACTGCTTCAGTCTAGTGAAGAAAAAAAAACACACGATCGCACCGGCAAGCCTGCTGCGTTTCACGCTAGGTTGTGTTATTCTGCCCCCACAACTTCCCATTTATCTCAGTTGCTAGCGGTAAATTCAAAGAGCTGGAGGTCTGAGTTTAGGGATTTACGCTATTCAGAATGTCAAAGACTAAGTTTTCGAACATCAACAATAGGTATATGCAAGTGCGTATAAACATACATACGGAGGATCTTATTATGTGCTTTTTGAATTTGCATAATATGCAGAAACACAAAAACTGATGTAAGACTGGTAGCATTTTTAGCGGAAAAACCCAAGTTGCGATGCACCAGGCTTATCGGTGCGATCATGAGTTTTTGCGCTAAATATAAAGCAGTTAGATCGTAAACAACTGAATGGTTCCTGTATTACAGTTTAACATGCGGACTTATGTTGGCTGTGTTTTGGCCCTTTCTTGCATGCAAGAAGAAAAGATCTCTCAAAACTTTGGCCCAACATTTTCCCGTTGCTGAGCTGAAAGTGGATGACAAAGTTCACTTGCTTTTCCAAAAACATACACACACAACACTTCCGACAACACGCGTTTTTTTATTGCTTTTGCATAAAATGCAAAACGGCATAAAAACGCAAAAGATGAACCTCAACGGGAGTTGTCGGGCGTAAATTTATTATTTGCAAGATTTCTGTCGCGGTCAACTGCAAATTTCACACATTAATTCAACCAAAGCAGGAAGTGATTCATCAGCAAAATATAAAAAACACTTGTTCAGTAAGCTAAAAATTTGAAATTTTCTGTGCTTTTAGCTCACAACCACATCTGACACTTGCCTGAAGCTCCACTTTTTCATAAATAATTTCCCGGAAAATTTGATAAGATTTTCGCGATTAGCTATGGCTACTTATAGTGCACTTTAATGCGTTTTCTCGTTTCTCGTGAAATATAAGTATAGAAGGATTTGACTTGAATGTCATGTGTATCAAGACATTTAACGATGCAGTCTGTGTTTTGCCTCTTAGCTGTAAATACAGGTCGAACTATGCATGCGGGTAGGAGCGGGGATCATCAGTACAGCCTGGTACACTGCATTAATCCGTTATCTCTTGTCCTAATATCACAACCCCCCCCCCCCCCCCTTAAAATCGCTTA